CCACCTATTGAAATAGGAAATGCAAATGAGATTCCACTAGCCACCTAGTAAATGAAGCAGCTTGCAGAACAGTGTATGTAAATAAAGAAATGGAAAATGAAAATTCTCCCTCATACAGCCCTGATACCTAGCCACCTAATTAATACCTAGTTATTTTCCCAATAGTTTATTCTGCCGACTGGGGAGATGGCCCCTTAGGGAAAGGGCAGGTTGTGCAAGTCTGAAGACATAGGTTTATATATGAGCCCATCCACATTTACACCCATACTCAGAGAAAGACAGAGAGAGAGAGAGAGAGAGAGAGAGAGAGAGAGAGAGAGAGAGAGAGAGAGAGAGAGAGAGAGAGAGAGAGAGATTGGAAGCATTTGAAAAGAAAATTGGAAATCGTCCCATAAAGGCACTGATTTACTCTGGATGTAAAAAAAGCTCTGATTCTTAAATTACTGGGACATTTTTGGTAGAAAAATCTGAGGAGCAATCCAATATCAAGAGGTCATGCAAAAATGCTCCAGGAATTTGCATTCTGGGTTGCTGAAAAGCAATGACATCATCTGGCAGAAAACCTTAGAACACAACTGCAAGGAAACAGAACAGATGCAAAATCCTACTTCCAGTTCATATTGTGGCTCTTAAAATGTAAGGACCTTAAGCAACTGTTGATGATTCAGATGAGATGGGTCTCAGAGACCAAAGGGTGGTAACTGAGAGAGACTTCCGGGAATGTTATGTCACCATGAGAGGAAAAGGAATGCTTTTGAGAAAGTGATTTAAGGTTTCTGGTTTGATTTTCACTCTCCAGAATGACCAGGAGGTGATCAGGAACAAAAGGAAAATTTTTAAAAAATCAATCAAAGAGGAGGAGTTTAAATAGAAGGGAAAACTTTACAGTTTAGCATTCATGACAACATTCTCAGGTCAGAAGTGTCATTGTGTATAATCTGATAAAATAGTTAAATGGTTGTTCAAGGTTAAGTACATGATACATTGATGTCTAGGGTATCAGTGACCTCCTGGCTACTCAGTATAATTTTCCTTAAAGAATTCTGAAAAAAAAATATCGGTATGCAAATGTTAAAATATAAAAGTATTTTCACTCTGAAATAAAGCATATCAAATATAAAATAAATGTTTTTCCTTGTTATATGTAAATGATTATTAAAATAGCTTTTACCTACTTATACCACCAGTTACTTGCATATTACAGATGGAATCTGATTGACATTGCCTTGAACTCATTTTTAATGAGAATGAAATTCTGAAAAGAATACATTTTGTTGAATTTGTTATGTTCTCTAGCGGAAAGGGTAGTCTTAAATGAACAGATCCTAGCTACTCACCTGCCATTAATATTCAGAGACCTGGGACATTTTCTTCAGGCATTCCCAAGAGAAGTAGATTTTAGTGCTTTTAAACTTTAAGATAATTCTATATTTGCCTTGAAGAATGATAACATGAAAATATGAACTTCAAAAATGCCATAAGGGTAAAATATTTCACTTTTTCCTTTTATTTTTAAAAATTCTGAAACATATGAAATAGATTATCCTTAGGTTCAGGGTTTGTTCTTTTATTGTTCACTATATTGTTAAACCAACATTTTGAATGAATTGTTTGACCTACCCTTTTTATAACATTTAGACAGCTTTATTGTTTTTGTTTGTTTATTTTGCATTTAGTGTAAACTAGTCACTCAGTAACAAGATCAAACTATTCCGCTGACTTTGACTTCCCTAGACTTACACTATCATCATCCAGTTACAAGAGTAACAGGATGCCAACTTGACTGTATTAAGTGACCTAACAATTTTCTAAAACTACTCTTGATCATAAATTATCTAACTTCTACTCATCTTATTTCATGAGTGCTTATCAAGAAAATTAAGACATTTCCCCCAAGTCACATGAATCTTGCAAATGAAATATTTAAATTTTTAAAAAATCAAATGTGACTATATGTGTGCACGTTTCAAAAGGCCCAGAGAACTTCCAGTGATCCAGAAAAGTCTTTCCGTAGACAAAGAAAGTCAAGGTTCACCTCTTATGAGTTTTGTGTAAGATTTTAGTACCTTGTATTTAGCTGTCTCAGGTTCTAGAATTCTGGTTGTAGAAAGATCGTCTTCAAGACTCTATTGCATTATCTTCCAAGTGATATTTTAAAAAGTAAGTAGAGAGTCTGTGTGTACATTTGGGAAAAAGTGATCAAAAGTATTGTAGAAGGTTCTAGTTCATGTGAATAGCCATGCCTCTACACAGTACTCGTGCAAGGATTGCAGGAATCAGAGCTGTAGTAGCAGGGATGCAGAGAAGCCCAGCTAAGAGTGCGTTGAATCAAAAGAAAGTAATTAGCAAGAAGTAAAAGTTTGGCTAACTATAATGGGAGAAAATCCACATTTTTAATAATTAAAGTGGCATTGGTGGGCCAAGTTATAGGAAATGATGTGAACAACATGTTTGTCCATGTTCTTTTATCTGCGCTGACTAGATAGAGCATCCGTGTATCTATTTTTTTATTATGAACATTCCACAGTCATTCTAACACTTATTGCATGTGCTTTTCCAATATAAGCCAGCTGACTTTTCATAATTTATTCTAAAGTATTTTCCAGTTGTTAATGTTTTACGTTCAGTTTTTCACATTTATTGTTTTCTTACAAGGTGACTAATATATCTGTTGAATGTTGACAAGAGTCAATATACTTTTGCAGCAGTAATAATTCCATGGGTAGTTTATAGCAGGGAAATTTAGTTCTCAGACATGTTCAAAATGTATGGAGACTCAGAATGAAGGAAGGGCACAGACATCTAGACTGCTTGCAAGTGGTGCTTGGGTTGGAATGAGGAAGGACTACTGAGCTTGGGAGACAACTGAGAACTTGTTTTATTTGAAGTGAGAATGAGAAGTGTGTTAACAAAGACCATAACCTTACTGTCCTCAATCCTTCCCTCCACCCATACCCCCTCCCTTTCTTCTTCCTACTTTCATTGTTTCATTCCTTCCTTTTCTTTTTTTTTCATGGTGGTTTGATTGAGAATTTCCCACACAAGCTCTTACAGGTGACACTTGGGCCTCAGTTGGTGGAACCGTTTGGGAGGTAGTAAGCAGAGATGTGGCCTTGTTGAAGGCTGTGTCACAAGAGGAAGGTTTTTACATTTAAAAAACCCATGTCTTTCCGAGTTTTTCTTTGTGCCACGTGGTTGTGTATTGAAAAGTGGGCTCTCAGCTACTGCTCTAGCACCATGCCTGCCCACCCTGCCATGCTCTCCACCCTGAGGACCATAGACTCACATTCTGAAATGCAAAGCCCCAAATACATTGTCTTGTTTTGTAAGTTGCCTTGGTTATGGTGCCACACCATAGCAATAGAAAAGCAGCTTATATAGTTTTATATATAATTAATGCTCAACCACAAGATCTGTTCCAGCTCTAGAATGCTACAATCTATTGGAAGGAAGAAAATATAAATATAAATAATATTTATGTAATATTCTATAATATTTGTATAATAAATAATTTTTGACACTTGTTTACATAGGGATTGTATGATTTTCTTTAATTACTGACAGTTACAAGAAGATACAGAGAAAGTTTACTAATTTTGAGTTACTCATGACACTGTTGATTGGATTTTGATAGTAGACAAAGAAACAGTTACATTGAAATGTAGCGATGGTTAAGTTAGCATTATCAGAAGTTGTTACATTAAAGAATGATATCAATTACCCTGAAAAAAAAACCAATTAGTTTAAGGGTCTTTTCCTAACTGACTACAAGCTATGAACCACACTGATCAGTCCTGGCTTGTCTCTGTAGTGTTTGAACATGGTGTTAGGTCACACACATTCTATGTTTACTATATTAAAAAAATCAATTATTGTATCTTTCAGTCTATTACAGCATGAAGCTATTAAACATTTCATCAGAAAATTACAAAGTACAGCTGGAAAGTTCTCTAGTGCTAGGCAGCTGCTGCTGTTCTAGCACTTACTGGGCATTTACCACTAGCTTGTAAAACCTTCCACGCCAAGTTTCACCTTAACTTCATTACCACCACATTACTGGCATACTGTGGTAAAGGGGACAGTGTGGGGGACGATAATAAACTATAAACAGCAAATATTTTCATAGGGAAGACTGCTCTTTTGTCTCTTCTATTGAGATCTTTCCATGATGTGAAAATATTCTGAATATACATATTTTTTGTAATAAAGTTTTTTATTTTTTTCTGTATTCATTGCTTCTGTTTTATAACACAATCAGGTTTTCTTTTGGAGCATGTTTGGGATTACTAGAGAGGTACAGTAGGTAGTTGTTGAAATGATTATTCCCAGTGTAATTTATCTGCAAAGACTGTGGAGCTCAAAGAGAGGAGGCTGAGGAGACAGATGGTGTTTATAGTACATTTAAAACCTCAGCATTTACTTTAAAACAGGAGGACTCCAATCCTTGGCAGCATCCCAAAGCCAAACTCTTTCCCATCGATTGGTATGAATCACTCTCCCTCCTTGGCGCCTGGACCTTTTCCACCACACACACCTCTTAAGTGCCAACAAATCTGCAATTGACCTTTTTACAGCTCTATGCAGAGATGCCTACGGTGGGTTTCTAATCCTTGTCAATTTTTTTTTGCAGACTGAGCTTTTTGTACACGCCTTCAAGGATCAGCTGGTCAGGAGTGCTCTTTTAGCTCTCTACACTGCACGGCCAGGAGGTATCCTTAAGAAGTCACCCTCTCCTAAGGTCAGCACAGAGGAGAAAACTACTGAGGATGATACCCCACAACTCAGAAGACAAGACTCCATACCACATCATTCTGACTATGATGAGGAAGAGTGGGTAAGTATCTTCACATCATTTACTTTCATGATTTAGTCCAAAGAAATACAGGGAGCATAATAAGAAAGCTCTAATTCTCAAAAATATATATGGAAAACAGTTATATATATATATATGTATAACCATATATGTACATACATACACCTCAAATACGCCCCAAAGAAAAACTGATCATCTATGTCTATTTCATATTTAAAGAATAAGCAAAGATCACACAAAAAATAAAAGACTTTGTTGCAAAAAATAAAATGTATTCAGAATATTTTCACATCGTGGTAAGATCTTAATAGAAATCACAACAGAATTGTAGATAGATAAGACAAGCTTTCTCTTAGGATCAAGTTAAACTTGAAAGTTGTATTCCTGATCAAAATTATTTGTTATAGATTTGTATTTATTATCAAATAAATCATGTGCCTAACCATAAATAAGTCATTGAATTATGCTATCAAAATTGCAAAATCCTATAATATATTTCTTTACTCAGTTCTAAGCTATCTAAAATTTTTAAAATTTTGCAGATGAAGACTAAAAAGACACACATATAAACCATCCTTGGCATATCAAGTTACTGTAAGACTAGGCACATCTTCTACTGAGGCTAGACAAGACAGGCCAGTTAGGGGAAAATGTTTCAAAGGCTGGCCATGTAGTCAGAGACAGACCCTGGCCCTGCTTCAGGAGTCCCAAATGAAGACCCATCTATACAACTGTTACATGTGTGAAGTGGGCCTAGGTCTGTCCCACGCATGCTCTTTGGCTGGCAGTTCAGTCTTGGTGCGCTCCTATGGGTCCAGGTTAGTTGATTATGTAGCTTTTGTGTGGTGTCCTTACCCCTGGGCGGCTTCCCTTTTCTAAGTCTAAGGGGAGGAGGAATGAATGGAATGAAAAGCAAGTTGAGACTTAGGCACTAGGGGCAGAGGAGGGAGGGGAAGCTGAGATTGGGAAGTAAAGTAAATAAGAACTTAATAAAAAAAAATAAGTAAAGTTTTAAACCGTAGTCATAAAAGAGAGTGGACAGTATGTCTTGTCAACTGTAGTAGATACAAGTATTTCCATTGTTGCTAGGAAGAGATTTACATTTGTGCATAGTTTAAAACACATATTCATGTTTAAATTACATGACATAAACATGAGTGAATGGACATAAAGATTCTTAAATCCTACCTGCTGGTGGTTCTAAAATAGATATTGCCTACAGGGGCTCTGACATCATATGCCCTGTATATGTATTAGGATAATTACTGGAGAAAGTGAATTAACAGAAGAAACAAGCAGTGTGAGAGGAACTGACTTAGGGAGGGATAAGACAGGAGGACTGGGAAGGGTACAGAGGCAGGAAGAACAGTGAGCTTTAAAGAGTCCTCCTACAGACATCACCCACGTGCCTCTGCAGTACATGTATATTCACACACATGTGCGTGTGCACACTGGAATCCCTTCCTGGTGCCACGTGCTTAAGGAAAGAAGTGTGCTGGCTGCACTAGATGTTTAGTTTTTAGTTAACCATTTTTTCTCTTCTATCCTGGAATTTTAGAGTGTTTAAGGTAGGGTACTTGAAGGGCCAAATCTCTAAAATGGTGTTTGAGAGCCTCTGAGTTAGCAACTGATCTTTCATTTGGTACAATTTCTCCCACAGGAAGCATACTTTCACCCTTCTTGAGGTAAGCACTGTATAAGTGTTGTGGTTGCTGATGAAGATTGCTTTTCCCATGTGGCAGCATTTCAAAAGAGCAAGTCAGATACTTCTTCAATTTAACCTCACCTTCTTCAATTTATTCAGAGCTCCAAGAGGTGCATGCCTCTTAACCTCGCTCAAGTTCAATTTTCTCAGCTGTAAAATGAAATCTGTACCCGTTCTGCTTAGCTCTTCTGATGTATGTACAAGAGGTGGTTTATCATTTTGTGGTGATGCCTGGACAGGCCTAGTCAGATCCTTGGCAGTGTTACTGATATGTGGTTCTTGGTGAAAATACATGACTTATAGTCTTATTATGACAACCAACTGTATACCTAGAGATTAGCCATGCTAATGACACCTCAGAGTAAAAATGTTGAAACAAAGGTTGGAATACTGGATGATAGTCTCTGGCAATAGGATTTCATCCAATGCAGTTTGAAGTTAGATTGTCCTATAATGCACAAAGAAGAGATATCCAAGTCATTTGGGTAGCGAGGTTTACAAAGAGCCCTTTCCCTCATTTAGAATTGACATGCTTCCTAAGTTATTAGACTTGCACATGGGAGGCCCTCAGAACACCCTAGGGCATATTGAGCCTACAGTGTATTCAGAAACCTAGAAAGACCGGTGGCTATTGTATAAGGCAGCCTGAGATATTCACACTGAAAGGTGCAAGAGTTTCATGGTCAGAGTGAGGTTTCAGATGCCACTCTGGAGAAGGGCCTGACAAAAGTAGTTAACCATACAAGAAAGGGAACTAAGTATGTGATCACTGTGGGGAGAGATCGTGACTAAGACACAATGCACAGGTATTTGTGATTATTGTTAATTTTGCTTGTTTTGTTTTTTTTTTAATTGATGAAATTTTACTATATCTGTACTGTAAAGACCACTTGGTAATTAGAGGTGATGACAGGCAGCTTTAGACCCTCGTACAATAAGAAACAGTCACTTCTCATCAGGAAAGTCTTAGGAGAAACATTTTCTTCAGCTGAGACACACAAAGGACTCACAGAGCTTTGGTGAGGCAGTCTGGACTACTGGATGTTCTTATCCTCTCCACATAAAGGAGAGTCGTGTGTTTAGAGAAGGACAGGGAGGCTGGAAGAAGTGCATGAAGAAGGCGGAACTGTTGAGGTGCAATTCCAGCAACATTTGGAATAACAGTGAGGATCTCCAAGCTTGTGAGGGACCCGCCAAGGTGAACTGTGATATGCATGGATCTCTGCTCGCCACAGTTTCTTGGTTTTCATCTTCAGCTTAGTAGGCTTTCATGCCCCTGTGCCTCCTTGCACATGTTAGGAATCTCCTCCGAAAGTCAGTGTTTCTTGAAATCATAGACATAGTTCTTCCAAGCTTAACACAATTAGAAGGAAACTCACACTCAGTAAACTTAACTCTAATCCCCTCCTCCAAATATTTTATCGTTGCTGATAATCGTTGTGATGGTTACACAACATTCGTACTGATTTTCTCCAGCACTTCAGTTTCCACCTAAAAGGTTCCTCTGCCAAAGGAGGACTTAATCTCCATAAAAACAAATACTCAGCAGTCATAGTAGCCACCTCATATTATATTCAAAATATTCTTTACCTCTGACTGACATTGTAAACCTGGAGAAAATGTAGATAATAGAAATGTCTTTAGAGGTGGTGCTGGTACATTATTTGGAACATGAGTTAGTGTTATTATTTTTCATTTAGTTGTTATAAAAGTACCAGGATTGATTACTAATATAGTCAACACCTGAAAGCAACTCTGTGTTTTAAATGAATGCAATCAGGTTTCAGTGACATATGAAAATGTTCTCTGATGACTTAAGTAGGCTGCAAGTTGAATGTAAGGTTGTACAGATCCGTTTGTTTAAAACTCTGCTGGTTTCGCTTAGCTTCCAGAAATTTACTGTAGTGAGGACTTAGCTTGGAGCCTACAGGTTCTCATAAACATCTGAGAAGTAAATGCATCTTGGTAAATTATTCTTGAGTCCATTTTAATGCATCTAACAACCTTTCTTTGTAATCACAGAAAAGAACCTGTGTTAATCCTACGTTGCGTGTGTGTGTGTGTGTGTGTGTGTGTGTGTGTGGTTGTTCTGGTTTCAACTAGCTTCAATGAGAGAACCTGATGACAGGAACCTGGCTGATAATTATCAAGATGATATGACAGAGGTTGAAACTGAAATAAGCCATACTGGAAAGTACCTGATATTTGCTTAATTTTAGTTATTAAATGATCGAATGCTCTACAGCATTTGTCTTCCTAAAATGTTGGTAAACAATGAAACACCAATGGAATATTTACAGAATATTTCATGGCAATAAGTGCCAGGAAATCGACTAGCACAGCATCCTTCCTCTTTCAGTCAGGGAAGATGACATATTGCATTTATCTCTGTACCCCGCTAGAACAGATGCTTCCAGCAGCTGGGATCCCAAGATTAGTTTGTCCAGAATATGAAAGCATACCATCTAACTAAACTATTAGGCTGTCCCAGATTTTGTGGCTTCAGTAATTACACCATTCTTTACAACATTAATCCCAGCATTACTACACTGGTGAGTTTGGAGCTAAATCTGGCTATTCCTAGTCAAATAAATACTTCATTTGATCTTATCTTACTTTAAATCCTGATCCATTATAACTTTAAATACTGCTCATTATAGTGAGGCACACAACTATTAAAACTCTTCCTATTATTGGAAATATCCTAAACTGTCATTTCACATTGAATTACATTTCACCATTCAAATTACTCAAGTAATTTCTGCTATATGTTGTACCCATGAATTAATGTTTTTTTTTTTTCTGGGAACAAGAAATTTCAGGATGCGCCTCAGGAGAATCATTGCTGTAGGAAACATGGCTGCACATTGTACATCCAAAAGCTATACATTTGAAAGTTTTTACCATGGAAAAAGATTAAAGTTTGAGAGAATGAGTATTTACCTGGCTTAAACACTAGGGAATGCATATACATTGACATATTACAAGACACTGCATCTGAATGTTGTTCAAATATAGCAAGTAAGTACAAGGTTTAAAATGAGTCATAAATCCAATTTCATAAACAAAATATAATCTTTCCTAAGCTAGCATACATTTTCTTTTCTGTTACATGATAAATGTATTTATGTTCATACAAGAAAATGAGTGTCATGTTTAGTTTATAGTCAAATACATAGTAGTAGTCATATCAAAAATTCCATTAATCAGGTCCAAATATAATCTGAAAATTAATTAAGGCTTCTCTGTCACTCAATGATGCCAAATATTGTGCTTTAATATCAGATTTCTAGACATGGCTTTCTGAAAGAGTTCA